ACATGAAAAGGTATTGGCCCGTCAAACAGCACAGCAAGAAGCCAGAGCAGTTATGTGTGACCCTTGACCATGCATCTTCGTTCAGCTTTGAAACTCATTTTTCTCTTAGCTCCCAAAGTTGTTGATACCTGTCCCAATATACGCACTGAGATCAATGGAGGCTTTCTGAGATATTCATAAAAATACAGTTAGAAAGAAAAGTAAATAAGAAACTATGCAAGTAGAGCTGAATTTCAAAGCAATAACTGAGGATCATTTCCATCATCATATCACAGCTGCCTCTCAGTGAGCCCCATCTGCATTAAGAATAAGTTGATTTATACAGTCCCATTTTGTGAAGAACTGTCATAGAAAATGTCACTAAAATTTTCTATTACACAAGCTAGAGGTGTCAGCAGCTATCGATTTACACACTCTTGCTTTATGAAAGACTGTTTCTGGGGAAAAAGGTGAATGTGGTCTGTCTTATCTTAGGAGTTTCACATTAGGTGCAATACAGGAACAAATTACACTCTGTGTGTGTGTGTGTGTGTGTGTGTGTGTGTGTGTGTGTGTATCCAATACTAGAGTACTGGACCTGATATATATTCCTGAAAGCAAACTTGAAAATTCTTGCTCTAAAATGTCAATGTAGTTATATAGAATATCAATTTGAACCAAAATGGAGCATTTAGAAATCTACCATAGCATTTTAGATGTGAAGCTACTGTTTCTCTCTTAGATATGAATGATATATGCACATGTATTACATATGAAGAATGATTCTGTTATAGTGCACCTGAGACTTCTCATACTCTCACTTCAAACACACTTCTGTTAGTTCCGCACTGGAAAGTTATGGGCTAGCTATTAGGAGGAATTAAATAATTAAAGTAGATGGGAGTTAGAATTTCATTTAAATACTGGTCAAGAAATACACCACACACACACACACACACACACACAGTGAGAGAGAGAGAGAGAGAGAGAGAGAGAGAGAGAGAGAGAGGGAGGAGTGGAGAAGGGAAGGAAGAGAATGGAGATGAATGAAAGGAAGGGATCATTGGAGATGGAAGAAAAGAAGAAGCAGGAAGAAATTGAATAACAAAAGGAAGAAAGATGAGGGTAAAGAAGACAAGAAAGGTATGACATAAGCTAGAGAGATAAAGAAAAAAGAAAGGCAAAATCTAAACATCAGTGAGCAAATAATTGTTGGGACAGGAAAAAATGTGAATACAATTGGAAGTAAAATGTGAGCTTCCCAGTCAGCTAATGTGGGTCAGTTCTCTTTTTACATACTGGTTATAAAGTATAGTGAAAATAAAGGAACACAAAATACACAGGAATAGTGGGTGTTATGTAATACTACTACAAAGTCACTGGAAAGGAATCAGAGGGACAGATAAAGACTGAAGAAGGGGAGAGAAATACCAGGAACACATCAGTCTCTCTTCAGCACACACTGGTGTCCTACGTTTCTGTTGATGGACAGTTGGCATAAACATGCTAGATGTGTTGAAATGAAGACTCTACAAATATTGGGTACAGAACAAGATGAGGAAAGCCAACAGGATTTGGAACCATTTATGTGTACATTTTAATCTTGGACAAAACAAAACAATAATTAATACAGGTTTTCCCTGCTGTTGTTAGAGGAAATGAATATCTATCAGGCCAAAAATGCATTGTTTAACTTTTTTATTACTTTTAAAGTTTTGTTGTGTGACACACACACACACACACACACACACACACACACACACAGAGAGAGAGAGAGAGAGAGAGAGAGAGAGAGAGAGAGAGAGAGAGGGAGAGAGAGAGAGAGAGAATCACAGCCCATAGGTGAAAGTGAGAGGAGAACTTGGGCTCAGTTTTCTCTTTTTATACATGGGTCCTGGGGCTCAAGCTCCAGCTGCCAGGCTTGGTGGCAATCACCTTCACCCACAGAGCCTTCTCTCTGGCCTATATCATTTACTTTGAAGAATACTTTGAGAACTTAAGAATTAAGTTTTCTCACCAGGCCAACTTGATTGATTTGCTTAATGATGAAAGATGAATTAATTATAACTGTTGAGCAAATGTGCCAGGTAAGCAAATGGCTTTAAAACTAAACCAATACAATAGTCACAACAACACAAAAATCTCATACCCCCCTCAGCTTTATGAGAATGAACAAAAAATGGAAAACTAGTCAAACATTCTATTATAGAAAACAGGAGACCATGTTCTATTTGAAACCCACCATCAAGAGCCTCCAGTATATCCCAAGGAAGAATTGCGATGAAACTATAGATTCTTGCCTCCTTGTCTGTCATTTCCATATCATTGCTGGGATTTCTACACAACCCTATAATCTCCTCTGGCCCTGTTCTTAAGCTGGCCCACCAGGACTGCCGTGTTTGAAGGAGAATGCCCCTCACAGGCTTATAGATTTGAATGTTTGGTCTTCAGGGAGTGACACTATTGCAAATGATTAGGAAGAGTGGCCTTGTTGGAGGAAATGTGTAATTGAGGTGGGTTTTGATGTTTCAAAAGTCCATCACAAGCCCAGAGTCTCTCTTCCTATTGCCTGTGGATCTGAATGTAGAACTTTCAGCTACTCCTTCTAGGCCCGTCTCTGTTTGCACGTAGCCATGCTCCCCACCATGGTGATAATGGACTAAACCTCTGAAACTGTAAGCAAACCCCAATTAAATACTTTCTTTTGTAAGAGTTACCATGGTCATAGTGTCTTTTCACAGCAATAGAACACTGACTAAAACAAGGACATATTAGTATCTCCTTCAAAGCATACCATAAACCCTGTCTCCCGTTTCTTCACTCTCTTTTCTGAGAAGCCTGTCTGGAATAAATAGTAATGACTCGTGGTAGCAAACAGAATTTGTCCTGAGTGAGAGTTGTGCTGTATAATTACATGTAATTCAGACATGTGTACAACTATTAGCAAAGGTGTGTTCTTCCAAAGGACATGCAGACCCTGGCACATAGACTGAAAGTGGCTGATGATCCTTCTCTGGTCTTAGAAAGGATGAGAGAAGAACAGAACCTGTGTAGGGATTCCTTGAGGAGAAAGGTGCTAAGAGATGGTAACAGTGTTCTGGAAATGCTTCTTCTTCTTCTTTTTTTTTTTTTTTTTTTTTTTTTTTTTTTTTTTTTTTTTTCAAGTGAGTATCATGTCAAAGCTAGGGGAAAGCATGTGGTGGCTGTTACCTTTGTTTGAAACAGGTGATAAAAGAATGATTGTTATCAGATGATTAAGTGTAATGAAATAATTGCTGTGAAGCAGAGAACTAAAGCTTCTGTTCATTGCCATAACAAGATAATTATTTTATGGTCTATTCTTTGTTTTGTACCAAAAATGAAGCATGCAGTGCTAACTTACAGTTATCAGGCACAAAGCAAATTAAAGCAGAGAGCACCTGATGGAAAGGTCGTAACTCTACAATAGGGCCTTCAGCTCAGGTCAATGAGGAAAAATGGATGTAGGCGATTCCATTCGTTGGTAAATACGGCAATGACTCAGAATCAACAAACCTATTACTCAGTTTCACTGAAGACCACAGAGAGAAGGGGAGAAGCAGGGAACCAGACCTGGATAAGGGGGAAAGTTGGGAGGGGTATCTTAGTTGATTATCTATCTGTGAAGAGACACCATGACCAAGACAGCTTATAAAAGATGGTTGATTGGGGCTTACAGTTCTAGAGGGCTAAAGTCTGTTGTGATCACCACGAAGGGAAGCACAGCAGCAGCAGGCAGGCATGGCACTAGAGCAGTTGCTTAGAGCTTGTGGCCTTATTAACAAGTAGGAGGCAGAATGCTAACTGGGCCTGGCACGAGCTTTTGGAACCTCAAAGCTCACCCCGCAGTGGCACACCTTCTCCAAGAAGGTCAGAGTTTCTAATCCTTCCCAAACAGTTTCACCATTTGGCAACCAACTGTTCAAAGATAGGAGCTTGTGAGTTGCATTCTCATTCAAACCACCAGAGAAAGGAACACTAAGATAGTGTTGAAATGTTCACGGTTCCTTAGCACATGGTCCTGACTATCATATCTTAATAATTTTCCTTGCCCTCAGCACTCAAGTAAATGAAGTATCTGCATGACTTCTAATGAGGCACACATTTCTAGCAGATACTTTTCAGATTCTCAGTGCTTGGGAATTAGGTGGACACCGGCACCCTCATTTTCTGTTCCATACTAATTATCAGGAGCTTGCTGTTTCTTTTTTTTCATAGTAACCTTTATTAAACACCAGCTTCACAAAAATAGAGCACACACAAACTGACTGTAGCACATCCTAATGTGAAACCATGAGCTACCTTAAGCCAGTAGTGCCTGTAATTTGAGAATATACTCTAGTTGCCCTCATCCAGAACTATTCCTTGGTACACAATTTGAGAAGCACAAATAAAAATTGCTTCTTAAGTAATATGGACATTGGTTTACTGATAAAGTGGATATACTAACTCAGAGTAGAGAAAGAGTATTTGGTACCTGAGAGATGGAAGAAACAAAAATTTCGAAGCGACAATGCATACGATATTTGAAGAATTAGACTTAAGTTTATAAAAAGGCATATTGTATAGCACTGTGTGCCAGGAGTCACAAAGGCATGGACACATTGGTATGGTAACCTCCTTCGTGTGTGTGTGTGTGTGTGTGTGTGTGTGTGTGTGTGTGTGTGTGTTTGCAAACCATTGCAAAACAGCAGAGGGGACATGGAATGGATGACATCCAGGAAAGGATTTATGAGCATATGGTGTCCCAAAGACAATATTAAAGAACAGCGGTAGTAGGTTCAGTAGGAGAGTATCAGAACTATGGACTAACATACATACATCTCCAGAAGGCTGTTCAGCTCACCCAGTAAAGACATACTGAGCATTGCCTGTGTGCCAGGCACACTCTAAGTGCAGAGAATACAACAAGGATTAGAACAAAATTGCTGGTCCCTTGTGCTTACCACTCTGGTTGGAGGCATGAATCTGGGAAAACAGGGCCTAAAATCAGGTGGACTAAGTCTCATACAATAGCCAATTTTATTCAGAACATCAGATAATTTATACTCTGAGAGATAAAAAGAGTCACCTGAATACAGGGTACAATCACAAGGACAAGCTGCATGTGGAAAGAAAAACATGTTTTTCCCTAGAGGCATATGAAAAAAAAAATAGCTGAAGTAAACTCACTCCTATCTGCTATACCTGGAAGAGGCACAAAAAACCCCCACATTCCAAGAACAATTCTGTGGTTTTGAGAAAGTGAGGTCACAAGACTCTTGTCTTGTTTCCTTGGAGTTTTTTCATAAGCACACAGAATTCTCACAGGACTCCATTCTTGGATTGCATTTTGACATCTCTCCTCTTTTTTTATTTTTCAATAGCAGGATATCCAGAGTGGTTTTAATTTGAGAAATTGCAGATAAATCTAATTGTCATTTGATGCATGAATTACCCTTTAAGCAAACAAATTATAATACTAGATCAGTGAAAGTGTTGTGTGTAGTACTTTGCCACCAAGAACAGAGATCCAAACTATGTCCAGTACTGTTAGCTACATTATTATATTGATCAGAAAAATCTAGAGATTACCTTGAAAAGAGACCCATATGATTAGTAGTCCTGATACCTTGTAGAACATAAGCTCATGTTTACCTTAAATAGGAATACAGGTGTTATAATGTCCCATGCAAATGAGAAGTGTTTCAAATCCCAAGGGAAAATTAAACTCAGGCCCTCTTCAGATGGATGAATGAGTCTATTACAGTCCTAAGCCCCAGTAATTAAAAACAGAGTCATTAGTAAAATAACATCTCTCCTGCCACATAGGGCTTTAACTTTGTCCTAGGCTGGCAGACTTGACTTCAGATGATATGAAAGGTTGATATCTCTTTTGCCCTTTACTTGGAGGTTTGCTCTCTTTCTGGTGACTTCCATTGTCTCCTTGCTCTCAACCAGTGTCCTTAATGGGCCAGGGCTGGAGGATATGTTTCATTGGATCCATCTGCAGTGACAAATGCATACTTCTTCTCAATTTTTGTCTGGAGAAGTAAGACTAGGACAAGTAAATGCATCAGCTTGCTTTTTTTCCTTCTGCAATAAAAGCAGGGGGGTAAGAGTGTAATGAATATTAATCTATTGATGTAAATAATTAGCCAAATCTGAAACAATATTTAAGAGTTTGTAAATTAACTACTATAGATTAATTAAACCAGCCAGTTCTATCTGATGACCTGAAGAAAAAGAAGTCTTAATAGACTGATGAATATCTGGACCATGAATCCCTCCTGTACCATAAGATGAGCTTTGGAATGGGAGAAGGTAGAACATTTTTGTAACCACAAATACAGTTCATATGAGAAAATCTCATAGTTTGTCAGCTGGATATTTATTTTCTGTTACTTCCACAATAATCTGCAAATGAAATTTGAAATTCCATAGATTTCTATGACACTTTCCAAAACTGTTTGTTAGGTAAGGGTAAAATAATACAGCAAGGATAAAACCCACATAATTGTTGACATTGCGTCCTCCCCTGGTTTACTAATTGAACAAGAAGAGTAAAGAAAGCAGTTAGTATTTTATGACCCTTATGGTGTAAGGAAATCCATTCCAAAGGTTTATCTTCTTGTGGTGTAATACCTGTAGGAGACAATTTAGTGGGGAAAATAAGTAAATTTAAAGGCCATGAAAGATCCACTTGATACACAAAGACTTCTTTTAGTCTGGATTCAAACGGCTGTAGTTCTTTTCTTGTTTCTCAAGATTATACATGAGGGCTATCCAATGCAGTCTTTCCTTCTAGAGTTTTATTTTTCCCCTTTTTAAATTTAAATTTAAATTAGAAACAAGCTTGTTTTACATATCAATCCCAGTTCCCTCTCCCTCCCCTCCTCCTATTCGATCCCTTTTCTCTTCCCCAGGGAGGGTGAAGCCTTCTATGGGGATCATCAAAGTCTGTCACGTCATTTGGAGCAGGGTCTAGGTCCACCCCCGTGTGTCTAGGGTTTTAAACAGATTGGTTAGTGCATTGGAAATACCAAGGACAGGAAGGAATTGGAAAATGAATTCCATTTCCCCATTGTGCCCTAAATTGCCAAAGTTGTAAATTTAGCTTTAGCATGGGTTCTCCTAAATCAGAAAGTGGAAGGAATTCAAGATTAGATTGTTTATCAAATTCCTCACCCCATGCTTCAGGGTCATTTTCAGGCAATGGAGGATATGAATTTAAAGGAGGCACCGGTAAAGGAGCTGAAGGGATTGTCACCATCACCACCAGCACAGTTGTCAGTGGTGCTGGAATTTTGTTTTTGCCTCTTTGGCCAATTTCAAGGTTTAACCATCCAGTTTATATTTATTCAAGGCAGTAGCCATCTCTTCATCATGATTAATAGCCTCCTTTTCTTCCGTAAGCATTTTGAATTAATGCCCAAGTGACTCAAAACTGAATAGGCCCCCCACTCTTTCTTTTTATACATCTTTTTAAATAGTCTTTTGGCCTCCATCTCATACTTCTTCACTTGAAGTTCCTTCTTCTGGAAACGAGGGATTATACTCATGAACAGCGTGTGCAAGCAATCTAATACCTGTGCTCCTCCTTTCTTTAAAACATGATGCACAAGCTCAACATAAGGAAAAGACTTCCCTGGTTTCTGTCCTTCTGTGAGGGATCCCACTCTTTTATAGCCTACCTCAGGCCCCTGATTTGTGGTACCACTTGTTTACTGCTCTAAGGGCAGCATGAACCTTGGAGAGCATGGCCTAAAATTGAGGCAGACTGAAGTCTCATTCAATAGTCAACTTTATTCAGACCATCAAGATAATTTATACTCTGAGGGTTAAGACACCTCACCAAATAGAGTGTGCAATCACAAGGACAAGCCAGCCCATGTGGCAAAAACATGCTTTTCCCTAGAGGCATATGAAAACAACAGCTGAAGTATACCTGGGAGAGGCATGACAACACATTCCAAGAACAATTCTGTTTTTGAAGAAAGTGAGGTCACAAGACTCTTGTCTTGTTTTCTTGGAGTTTTCTTACAAGCACTCAGAATTCTCACAGGACTCCATTCTTGGGCTGTGTTCTGACACCTTGGAGATGTCTTATAAAGATACATATTTATGCAGAGTATACCAGAGTTGATAAAGGTTATGAAGAACATCCAGCGACAGAGACACTCATGAAGTTCTGAGAGAGTGGGCCTGGAAACTAAATTACTGAAACTTATTTTGTCATGCAGGGACTCAGAGTGCAAGGGTACGGTCAGGGGTGGCTGGGCTGAGTGCTGAGAGAGGAGCTGAAATGCCTGGTCTTGGGAATGCCTGTATAAGTAATGTTGCCTTGTTTCAGACTGTGGGGATGGACTGCCACATTAAAGATTATCAAGAATAGAAATAAACACCACAAATAATCATTTAACAACAACGGACCCCATTATTTCATATAATTGATTGCAATTACAGATGCAATTAAGTTCTTGTTCTCAAAAGCTGAGGCTTGGATCCTAAATGATAAAGGTCCAAAAAGATTCTGAGTTTCTATTGCAGAAACTTCAAGCTTGTGAGCAAACCATCTCTAAGAATTTTTTTCTATTTGTTCCATACTAGCCTAGGCATCAAAATCAACTTGTTTCCTTTATAGTCCCCAATACATGTCAGTTAGATAGTGGTTGTGTGCCAGACTTAACTGACATTTCAGAAAGATGGATAATTACATTATAAAAAAACAATTTAAATGGAATATTGTCATCTCAGGAAGAATGGGATTTGTAAGTGGGCAAAAAAAGATTCTGAGGGTTTTTTTTTTTTTTTCAGTCAGGGCCTGGGATTTGGTAGTTTCTAAGAATTATTAGATTCTTCAGAGTTGAGTCCTATGTTTGCCTTTCTGCTGGCTAGGCTTATCTGAGTCTATGAGAGAAAGTAGAAATAAAGATGTATAAAACTGAAAGTAAAGTAAGAAATTATTATTTGAGAACTTGGGGACAGAGGAGACTTGTGAATCTGGTAAGTTCCAGGGAGTTCTTAAGACTTATGACTTCTTTACTTCCACAGTTTTACCAGCCCGGCTTTTATGGTGGGATGTTTCAACTTGGAGGAAATTGACACAACATTTGCAAAGATGCCCATATGAGAGAATTTCTGACCAAATTTCTACCTATTATTGGAGGCTTTCCTGCTCATCTCCATGCCGTGTTACTTACTCTGATAAAATCCACTCTGGTGGGAGCCATGTGACTTTTTTGGGGACCAATGCCTGAGAATACCATGAGTGGTAGTGTGGGTTCTACATGCTCTCCTGGCTTTCACTATGCTAGCCATACTGCTGGCCTGCATGAGTCACAGTAGGTCATGAAGTTAATATTACATACTTGCATAACTGTTCTGGAAACAATGATTTTAACCATAAAAGCTTTAAAGAAATGCAATTAAATAGATGGTATCAAGAGTTAATGGGAACATTCAAGGAACCAGGATGAAGCAGAATCACAGAAATCCACTGTTCTCTCATTTCTCATAACTGTGCCAATATGTTAAGAAGTTAAAGGAGATAGACATAAAGACAAAGGCCAAGTGTTGTTTTTATGTGCTACACAGTGCCCGAGTCTGCCACTGTCTTGCTGCTGAGGCCAAGGCCTGGGGAGAGTTTGTGTCCCACCATTGCCCCTCAGCCACCTCCACATTGGGAGCCAAATGTTTTTTGTTTGTTTTTATCTAAGTCTATCTTTTTTATTTTACTATTAAAGACTCAGGAGCAAGATACTGGGATGAAAACCTGCTAAGAGAGGCAGAGAAAGCAACCATTTGCTCTTCCTCCACTGCCACCATCCCAAAAAAAGGGCTTTCTCCTATGTTGTCTGAAACAAAATATCCTCCAACTAAATCTCCTTCCCTTCTATTTCCCGAGTGTCTCTCTCTCCAATCTCTTGACTTCTCCTCACTCTCTGTGGTTACTAACAGACAACTGGTTGCTTGCTCTGACTTTTGACCTACAGAATGTTGTTTTTATTTTACCTTTTTTAAAATAGGCAGAAAGCTCTTAGGTTACATGTGCATATGAGGGCTGAGTCACACCACAACTTGAAAACAGGGTTTTCCAGTAAATAACACAGTCTTGGGGTTCATGGTGTGATAAAATATCTTGCAACAGACAAGCGATGTTAACTATTATGAATAAGTTTCCAGGTTATGTTCCTTATAGGATAAATGGAAAAATCTGGTATGCCCCAGAGGGGATAAAGCATGGCAAAACTTAGAGTAGGTTGATTCAGCTCTGGTGAGTTGATAATGAGAACCCTAGCCCTACCAGATGATATAGATATAAATATTAACTGCAAGAGACAAAATTGATTCTCACCCTGCATGATGCTACCAACTGGGAACATTGTTGTACCTGTTGGTGTGCCTAGTTAGAGAAGTTCCTTTGTAGCTTGCAAAACTGCTCATGCTTCTTATGATAGAGATATAGATCAAAAGGGTAATGGCGACCCATGGGAGAGTTGGAAGGCAGGGGACAGAGCCAGGGAACAAACTGGTAATTATTGTAACTGTTTTTAGAAACTTAGAAAGTAAAAACTGATTGTAAAATTGTTCATGCAAATCATTAGAAACAGTATAAATAAATATGGCTCAGCCTATTTGGGGCCACTTGCTAGGATGACACCAGTTGCACTTGGATGACGATGGTCACAATGGAATATCATCATCTTGTAGCTGACTCCACACATCAGTCCCAGATCCTTGAATAATTCCAAGTCCTTGAACCCATCTGGAGCAAGGCTTCCAGAATCAAAGAAGGAGGTTATTAAACAAGGTAGATGATGTAGGAAAATAGAACACAAAATATGAGCTGAAATATTAATTGAAGAGGGATTTTTTTCTAACTCATTTCTTATGAAATGTCACAATTCCCTGTTTTCAATTTGTGCATTTCCAGTGATTATGCACATCTTAAGAAGAAACATATAATGGCTATTTCCTTCTGCATTTTCTGCTTGCTCATCTCCTCTCTGTGACAGGCTTTTAGATGAGAGATGAGAACTGTGTGGGTTCTCAGCTTGGTCCACTTGGTGCCAGGATGCAAAAGGCACCAAGAA